CCCCCCCCTAAAAAGGCCTTAGGGAATTCTTTAAGCTTCGATTTCCCGATAATTGGAACGTAAACAGTGAGCCCACACACAAGGTGAAAGGTTACACACATAGTACTACGTCACCAGCCTCTTTCACTCCCTGCGGCACCGCTAGTGGCTGGAAACATTAGGTCTAATAAACAAACAATAGACGATGGGTCTAATCTCGCGTAGCTTATCTCTCCTGCTAGAGTTCGTCCGTTCGCCCGCCCGCTCAGTGAATAAAATTGTGGAGCGGACCTAAGAAACGAACTGACTTGAGGCCGGAGGTCCGCAGCCCGCTCGCTGAGAGAGTAAAATTGTGGAGCGGACCCAAAAAACTGAACTGTCTTGAGGTTCGCAGTTCGCTCGCATGGCCGTCCGTTACCCGCTCGCTCAGACTGAGTCCGCGAGTGACGAACCCGTCCGTCCGCTCACCCCAACTCTACTTTACAGAGAGCACTTGAACAGATATGTGACAGGGGGAAAAACGAGGATAATAAAGGATTTTTAGGGCAATCAAGCAGAGAAATGAGTTGTGAACCTTGAGTGCAGATATCTGTTTCAGATCTAACACTTGAAGAAAAAGTTCCAGTTCTACATTTCATTCTTGATAAAAAAAAGGTAGAGGTGTATGTATGTATGGCACTGCTAAAGCTATGACACCGCTTATCAACCTACCTGGCAGGTCATGGACACTATCATTCTCGTCTCCACGTCATAGGGCTCTGGCGTCTCGGACTTGACCGACTCTGCCACCTCTGGACTTATTGCACGTGGACGGGACGCAGGCGGATAGCTCATGGAAAAAGCTGTCAGCGGATAAATGCCATTTCTGAAACATGGAGAAGGGGGAAATAACGAGTCTGGGGTGGAGGAAACCTAAGCAAACAAAATCTGAAAATTACAGCAACATTTACTATCAATGACTGCTGTGTAGGTCATCATCATCATCATTGCCTTTCTCACCCTGCACCAGGGTATAGGCCACGGACAAACACCCTCCACTTTTCTCTATCCTGGGCTAGCCTCTTGATGTTATTCCATGTCTTCCCACTTTTCTGTACATCGATTTGTCCGCTGTCCTTCATTGTTCCTGCTGATGCAGAAGCTCCTCTGTCTCCCATAATCGAAAAATAACAAGTTGTGTTTGTCCGTGTTTCTGTAACTTACTGTTTTTTACTGGGTTGGGTAGTTGGCCCTCCGCAACTCTGGCACTTTTCGGGCGACCAGACCTATGCACTTTTAGTCGCCTCTTACTACACGCAGTATCACGACAGGTGTATTCTTTGCTCCCCCATAGTAAAACTACGGGGCCCCCCACCAGCAGGGGAGGTATGCTGTGTAGGTGACAGTGTAAAAAAAAATCTCATCCACTAATCTTCTCCTTCTTGTGGCCTTAACCCATGAAGGAGTCTTCAGAAAGCCACCTGGATGATCTGTGCACTCCACTGGTCCACTTTTCCTAGGATCTAAGACTCTGGAAAAGGTCACCAGGGCCCCTCATCGGTGTTGCCTGCCCACCATTATTTTGTCCATCTCTCTTTTTTTCCCTTCCCCTCCAATACTCCTTATAGAAGTGTCTTTGCAAAGCCGCTTGATCTTGCTTTGTCATCAATCCATCTCAGCTTTCTTTTGCACACTGTTGTGAGAAGATCTTCACAATGACCAAAAGTTCACTGTGTGGTGTGGCGCATTTCCTTTGTCTGTGATGTGGTGCATGCATAGGAGAGACCCAAGAAATGGGGAAAAAATGGTGAAATGGTATCAGTTCAACATTATTAGGTTATTTCAAAGGTGGGAGCTCTGCCTTGACATCCATCTCCGAAAGGACCGAGCAAGTAGGAAATTCCTGTACAGTGCCTCTCCCAAGGACACAACGTTGGACCGAGCTGAGGCTCCAACGCCCGAACTCACAATCTCAGGTCCAGGAGCCTAATGACGAGACTACCGATGCTACTTGACGCCCAAGATGAATACTAATTTTAAAAATATTAAACAAAGTCAATAATGATAAGTCACGCAAATATTGCAAATAAACAAAAATAGACCTGTGTATTTTCAGATTGTGTACGGCTGATGGTAATGGAATTAAAGAAAGACAATTTTTATGCAAAAATCCAACCATTATTCTTCCACAAAACAACCCCCTACCCCCCCCCCCAATTTTTTTTTTTAATTAAAAAAAAATAATTTTTAATCGGAGGGCTCCAATTTTTTATACGAGGACTTGGTAGGTCTACTGAATCAGCTCTACACAGCATTTAACTAGAGCGCAGTAATGTTCTCCACATTAATGGAGGCAGTGCATCACTACCACAGATCTAAACAGCTGCACATGGGCAAGTGGTGTGACTTGATTGAGTTCCTGTGTCATTGTCTTACTTGACATCATCCAACAGTTTGTCCAGCTCCAGCACGGGCGTCTGAGAGACTCTGGGAATCGGGGAAAACAAAAGCAACATACGTAAGTGAAGCTGCAATTTCAGGAACATTATATGCCACATAAATTGTTCTTTCAAGGAAACATAATTCATGACAATATCCATAGACTGATCCCAATATAAATGACAAAATACTAAAGCTGTTTAAAAAAATAAAATTTTGGGTGATCCCAAAGCCAGGACAATAGGTTGGCTGGCTTATGTTGGGTCATGAAATAGCACAAAACGGAAGAATCATCTATCTTAACATTGATTACATTACAGGAAGATACCCTTAGAAACAACGTACAGAGTATGCATTAAGAGGACACACATTTTCTTAGTTGCTACATACAAAGCAAAAGTACCAAAGCTTGTTGAGATGACAGTTATAAAAACTCTTCTGGAACTGATTCACTAATCTGATAAATGCTCGAAGCAAAGCCCATTTCAAGTTTCAAATCACAGCCACTTAAAACAGTTCAAAGTAAAAGTCTTTCAACAGGCATGAAAGTTTCAGATGGATACATACACTATGTCCCTTATCATAATCAAATTTCTGTTTATTGAAAACTCTTTTGAGTTCAGGAAAATACGAAAGATCTTACTTCCACTGGACCACCTGGCCGTTCGCACGGTGGATTTCGGCTATCACTCGGTTCGGGTCATCTGTTTTGGCAGCATGGGATGTTTCTGTCAAATTTTCTGCTAATAAGGCTGTGGAAAATGATGGGCCTGGTGAGATCTGCTCATTTTTGTAGGACACAATGCCAGTCATTCTGTTCACACAGTGTAACTCAATATCAATGTGTCTTTAAAACAGGGAATTTAGCCTGCAAACTCACATTTTACGGTATTTTCATACAACACTCTCTTGCTTCAGAAGTTAACTATAGTGGCTTATTATCAAATGAGATGTGATTACATTTCTGAGTAGATTTTACAGAAAATGTTGATTAAAGTTAAAGGCCCTAAAAAATCTTAATTTGCACTTTCCGTGGGCACTCTAGCTTTGGATATCATCAACCTTTGGCGGACATTTTTTTTCACTGAAAGCAGTCAACCCCACTCCCTCCACCTCCTTCAATTGCAAATATCTTAACTTCTGATTCAGGATAGATGGGTATTTTTTCTTTCAACAAAAGTCAGACAACTGAACAAGATTTAAGACGATACCAATAACTCCATATACCCAAAACTTGACAGAGCACCTGATTCCACTGTGGCTTGACACAAATGAGTATGAGGGTTGTAAACACGAGGCTGTACTTTTCTCTGGCTTCAAATACTAACACAGTGCCTCTATACCAACACAGTGCCTCCATACAAACACAGTGCTTCTATACAAACACAGTGCTTCAAATACTAACAGTGCTTCTATATGAACACATTGCTTCTATACAAACACCGTGTTTCTATACAAACACAGTGCTTCTATACAAACACAGTGCTTCAAATACAAACACAGTGCTTCTATACAAACACAGTGCTTCAAATACTAACACAGTCTCTATACAAACACAGTGCCTCTATACAAACACAGTGCCTCTATACAAACACAGTGCTTCAAATACAAACACAGTGCCTCTATACAAACACAGTGTTTCCATTAAAAAAACGCAGTGCAAAATTCTTTTTATCATATTTATTGATGTAGTAACTACATGAAAAATGAGGCCCTTGGCCACTGAGGTTTAAGAAATTCTTGAATTAGCTTTACACTTAGTAAAATATTCATCTGAGAGAGTGCTGACAAGGATAAAAAATGAGAACCTCATAGAAACCAATCCCACATATAATAAGACTATTTTTATAGCACAAAATTGTAAATTAATACGATACTGTTTCATTTTTACTATATGCGCAACTTGCGATGAAATTATTTTCATAACTCAGGGGTTTACTGGTTCCCTAATGCTTGAAATAAAGGGCTTTATAATAGAATATTAGTAAGGACTAAATGAACTTATTGAGTCTTGCTTTGCACTTAACCACATGCTGTCTCATATAAATGTATATATATATGGGCGTCACTTCATGAGACAACCAAAACTGTGCTAAATTCCCCAGAAACAAGAAACAAAATAATTAGATTAATTAATTATTGAAGTTATCAAAATACTTCACAGAAAACATCAGCAATAAGTCCACACTATTCTTACCATTGCACTTGACTATCTTGTGGGCAGCAACAAGCTTCAAAGAGTGCACTTCAAACAAAACCTTGTGGAACAACAGCTCGCGGGCAGTAAGACGAATTTTGGGGTCACGTTGAAGACAGCTGTGTAAAAAGTCCTGTCAAGACAAGGAGAACACCATGATCATCTTTAATTGCTCTACATCTCCCGTAATGACATATGTGAGGCATGCTGACAAAATGAGTTACTTCTCGCAACCCATAAATGGATATATTTAAGAAAAATTGACACGAGGGTCAAATTTGTAGAATTTTTATTGATGCCATATATTCTTTAACTATAATACGCCTTTTATTATTTCATACTTATAAATTGTAAAAGCTTCACCTATAAGCATGATGTATCTATTTCCATAAGGCTTAAGTCCGAGAAGTAACTCATTTTGTCAGCACGCTTCACATATGTAAAAGCAATCAAAGGAAAAGCACTTTACTTTGTGGCGTTACGAGTATTCTTCATGCTACGACCTTATGATTCTCTTGCTATCTATTAAGCTAAGACACATCTCAAGTTTATTTTGCTTTATAAATAATCTACTTATAGATTGATAGTTAGTTTGTCTCAAATCTTTTTCCTAAACTGTGAGTGCGGAGGGTTTGACAGTACTGAGGTGGTCTTTCGAAGATTCTTTTTTCTTCAACCACTACTCAAAAACGTATCAAGTTTTTTTGTTGTTTTCATAGAGGTTTTACGGTGCTCGCAACACAATATGCTGTAAACAAAGAAGAAATCTCAAGTCATATCCAAGAAACAGACTACCTCAAACCAATTAACTTCATTTCTCCTGACATAGCAGGATCATAGCAAACCTTTTGTAGGGGATTCTCCACCAGTTCCAACGACTGACTAATGACGTCTTTCTGAGCCCCGGGGCTATCACCATTGGGCTGGAAACCTAATGTGGCCATCTGCAGATTGAAGAGAGGAGAAGAGGCGGGGAGAACATTTATTCAAAGTTCAATCTAAAACAAAGCAATTTGTATACATACATTATTTTCGTAAGCAACTCTATTATGTTAACTCCAAGACAAATGAAGTATGCATTGGTTTATATTAGTCTGCCATTTAAGACTAAATTTATATAGAAATAAGAGCCTAATCAACAACCATCAAATAAAGCAATATATGTTACAGTACACTTTAAGATTATCTTGGCATAAATTTCTGAAACGTGCATCAGCAACATATATACAGCCGAACCTGCCATGACGGCCACCTGTACAAACGGCCACACTCCACTTCCCCCCCTTCCATTTTTTTCTATATAATTTTACTGTGTAAAACGGTCACCTGTCCAATGCGGCCGCGGCCATCTTATTTCACCAACCTATGGTCAAATTTACCTGCCTAAGGCGGCCAGGCGTGGTCTCGCATTGCTCAATGCTTTGCCATAAATTTTTAGTTAGCCCCTAACGTTGTGGACGGGCCGTCATAATCCATTCACCTGTTGCTATTGTTAGTCCTTCCAATGAAAGTTTACCCAAATTGACTAATGGGAGACAATAAATTTTCAACTGCTGGTCAAGGAAGCCTGTGATCCGTTTTAACCTCTAAGCCCGTCCACAGCTCATAAACAAATCAGATCTTAGGTGACTTATCACTGTTTTGTTTACCCAATCTGTTGCAAAGTAACAATGGACGTTAGCTTAACGTGAACTTGCAATCTGGAAGTCATTAAATCACCGCTGGACCCACTCCGTGCTGAGTTACACGGGGGTCACTGGCCGCTCTTGCGTGCATCAACTACAGGCGGGCAGGTCATGGCGTAATTAATACTTTTGACACTAAATATCGGCAGCCTCCTCACTCTAACCACAAACTATTCCATACCAGAAGAAAACATCAAGTTTCCCTCTCAGAGTCTACGAAAACCTGACCTATATGCGATTATATTTGCCCATGTTACTGTGTATGCAAAATGTTCTCAATTTCAGCTAATTTAATCTATGTTTATCGCACTTAACTCACGGACTGCCAGGCCTCAACAGCGGTGGTCTGCCGCGGTTTTTAGAGTGTTTTCAAAAAATCGTAACTCAAAAACTATTTTTCTAAGGGATTTGAACTTTTGACTGAAGCTGACTTTCCTCCTAGTATACGTATATATCTTACCTCAAGAGCACACATCCCAAAAGAATAAATATCGACCTTTGTTGTCATCTGTTCACTGTCTGAAAAGCAAAGGAAGTTGGTTTTTTAAAATTGAGTAAGCAGTGTAAAAAAGCAGCTGTAACTGTGTCAACTACACTGGCGAGCAAAAGAAAGTGGGCAGTTTTCAAATTGGTGCTGTATGAGTCGTCTCACGAATTTTGACTTGGCGATTGACATGCTGAGCGTGAATCACTTTAGAAAGTCCGTCAGAACAACATTTGTTTATTTTGTTGTTATAAAAGTGTTTACAACACGTTTAGCCAAAAACGTGTTTTCTTGTTTTTTCTTGAAAGTTAACAATGCCTTTACTTTTAATCTTTTTTCGTTACACACTTCAACGAGTGTCAGCGAAAAGGTCGTCAAAATTTTTGGGTTTGTACTGTACAATTGTGTTTTATACGATGCCTAGGATCAGTGATACGCCACGTCGTGAAGCTCTTGGAATGACGAGAGCTAATGCGACGGTCTCTGCTCTCGCTAGAGCTTTCAATGTGACGAGAGATACTATCCAAAAGCTAAGGATACACTTCCAAGCAAGTGGTTTGGTTAGTGACACTCCAAGGTCTGGTCGTCCTCGTGTCTCTACTGCTGTTGAAGACAATCGGATCAGAGTTCCACACTTGCGGGATGGGTTTCAAACAGCTTCTAAAACTGTCAGAGATTAGCCTGGGCGTAGACCAATCAGTCGCTTCACCGTTTGTCGACACGTGAAAGCCCACGGAATCGTTGGCCGACACCCACCTCGACGCACTCGTCTCCTCCAAAGACACCGTCATGCTACACTCAACTGGGCGAGTCTGCATCAGCGATGGCTAAACCGCCAGTGGAACAGAGTGATATTTTCTGACAAGTCCAGATTTCTTTTGGATCGGCACGAAGGAAGGCAGAAAGTCTACCAGACACGTCATGAACGTTATTAATTTACCTCAGTGTGTCAGTGCTGTTGCTGACAAACGTAGCATTATGGTATGGGAATCCATAACCAGTACTGATGAATTCAACCTAGTCATTATCGACGGTAATCTGACTGCCCAGAGATACATCAATGACGTTCTCCATCCACACCTTCTGCCGTTTCTGGCTCGCCACAGGAACAATCTCATGTGCCAGCAGGACATTGCACCAGCACACTGTGCCTTTGTTACCCAGAGATTCTTACAACAAAAATGACGTACGTGCTATAACACTGTTGCCAGTATTATCTCCAGATTTAAATGTGATTGAGCATCTCTGGGAAAAGATGGACAAGAAAATTTGCACCCTTTGGCCACCCCCAACGACAATCCCACAACTGCAGCAATCATTGCTTGATGCTTGGAATAATATTCCCCAGCAATTTATCCAACGACATGTGCAATCCATGAAGCGGAGATGCACTGTAGTCATCAGCGCTGGTGGGAGTTACAACCGTTACTAATTCTGTGATTTTGGGCATTCGAATCGGTGTTATTAATTTCTAATAAAAGGTGTGCTTTTGATCGTTTTTCTTACATTTTTTGTCTGCACTTATTGAAAAACTGGCAAGCCTTTCAAAATCCATTGGCAATACGGAGTTACTACGGTGAAGAACGGAAATAATGCACACAACGTAGGGTGCCCACTTTCCTTTGCTCGTCAGTATAGAAGTAAGTCACAGCTAAAAACTATTTTTTTAAAAAGACAAGAACATTCATCCCCATGACAATGTTTTTATGTAAATGAAACATTTGATCAAACCAAAGCTGTACATCTACTACAATGCTGCTCTCAAACAAGTGTTTTGTTTCAGTATGAAGTTTACAGCATTTGCAACACAACAAGGTCGTATAAGTGCTGAAGACTAGAGGTGTTACAAGAGAATAGCAAACACAAAAAAGAAGTAATAGAGATAAAGGAGGATAAATCTTTGATAGAAAAAAAGGAGCAAACCGCACCAGAGCACCCACCAACCATCCACTGAAACGAGTGTACATGAAAACAACAAAGAACTATGAAACAGTTTAACACTCACAAGAAAGAGGAGACAAATGGCAATGTATCCATGTCCTACGAGACAAATGCTATTAATTAATTACATTATCTTAATCCATGACCTTTGAAAGCCACAAAGTCATTGTCAGGGTAAATAAACTGCTGGCTTGTAATAGTAACAAAATACTCATAATTCTCATAAATTCGTGATCAAAGAGTACATTTGCTACACCACTACTTTCAAATGATTCAGAACACTGAATAAAAAACAACCCCACCCCCTTCCCAAAATCCAAAGCAACTTGAGTTCAACAGTAAAAGAACAATAGTATTCTGCACACTCAAACACAGGACACACACACCAAAGGCATTGGTTTACCTTCATATTCAGGAGCTGAGTAATGCATGTTCTTCAGATCTTCACTGTACGTCTTCACATGGTGATGGATTGCATCTGGGGCCACTGATAATGAAAGATCATTTTTTTTAAGTTTTAGTTTTAGTAGAGGTTTTTCGGCACTCGTAACTGCATAAGGTCATATGAGCGCCAGAAGATTAGAGGTGTTACAAGAGAGTACCAAACATAAAAAAGAATGAACGGAGATAAAGATGATAGATGTTTGATAGGAAAGAAGAAGCAAACCACACCAGAGCACCTGCCAACCACCCATTATTTTTTTAAATTGATTTATTTGTAAAAATCTATGATCTAACTACACGAACATAAAGAGTTTGGACCTCTCAACCATGAACAAAACAGCTATTGTTTCTTTTTATCCCAAGATAAAGTGTCTATGACTTCTTCACGCAAAACTCTAGGGTTCCTGCCATGAACTCCCCACCAAATTCAAGGAGATGTCAGGGAGACATTTGTATAATTCACGGAGATTTGGTCAAGACATCCATGCCCAAAGCCTATTTCTGATAGGCTACACTTGTACGAAAGGAATCGTAGCTTTGGTTATCTGACAAAAATTTTGTTCATGTCAGATTAAGCGAAATTCAAAGAGTTTTCAAGGAGGTTCCTCAAATTCAAAGAGTTTTCAAGGAGATTTTCCCCTGAATTTGCATTCTAGGAGTTTTCAAGGACCCCTTGAATTCAAAGAGTCCGCAAGAATCCTGAAAATCCTACTTTTCAGTGACGCACAAACCGAACATTCTCCCTCCCAATGATGATGCAGAACTTGTGCACCTAAACTGCTGGGTATATATTGCAGAGGTGAGTGTTAGTTCACACTAGGGCAAAGAGAGTCATGCTCAGGCATGTGCCTGGGATCATTGGGTTAAAGCAACAAGTCACATACAATCAGTTCAGTTCAATAAATCAAATTCAGCTTATAATAAAATTTTGTTTAATCTATTATTCTACAATAAGCAGAGAAATGCTAGAGAACGGCCTTAGAAACAACAATGCTAGAGAACGGCCTTAGAAACAACCAGGCTGAGAAGCGTCAATGACGAAAGGACAACAGCGGAAAAACAGAGCTTCGATCTATGACACTGACATGCAAGCACTGAGACAGAATCTGCGCTTCAAACATAGGAAGAATTAGCCATGAAAGAAGCTGCATGAAGACGACCTTGAGACCATCTTAAGCTAAATTGACCGTCTGCATAGACGAAAAGAGCCATACAATAAACAGACAGGCCGTAGTATTTCATTGTTGAAATAATAATAAATCTAAAAAGTTATGAACTTTAAACTACCATCTACGAAAGTAGTCAGATTTTCAATAAGGGACGATCAATTTCTCGACCATACCTGATCCTATCTTGATCAGTCCATTGTGTTGTATGTAGATTGTTTCTGTTGTGAGGTTCCCGTGAATGATGGGAGGGTCACAAGAATGTAGATAACTGGGGAAAACAAGGCAAAATATACCAGCTGGACAGACTGTTGCAGAAACAGGACATTTATCATTTTTTAAAATCATCCTTGGCAAAAAATTCCAATGCATATATAACAAAAAAGAAATACTTTATACAAAAAATACTTTAAGCAATCAAATTTTAAAAAATTTTAAAGTAACGAAAGTCAATTTAAAAAAGAAAAAAAAAAAAGAAAAAAAAAAAAGAAAAAGAAAAAGAAAACAAATATTACCTAGCCAATGAAAAACATATTGGTCTCAATTCCGCTTTCAGGCTTTCCCATAAAAACCCAACTGGAGCACCATAAACACAAGATGTAAATAAGACCACTCAGCCACCGAACCCTAAGTTTCCAGTTGAAGAGTTATCACAAAGTTCAACTCAATAGAGACTTACCTGAGAGCAGATAGAATCTGAGTGCACCATCTCTTCCATGCCTGTAATGTAAAGACAAAGGTCAATCACAAAAAAGTCTTACCATTTTTTAAAAGAAAACATTTACCACGAACGTGATTATAGCATGAGTGGGAAAATGACAGAATATCATGGTGTTTTCCTTCTTTCACAAATCACAGATACACTTATCTACACAGACATAAAAACGTGCTAGCTGTGGTGCACATAGGTTCACCAACTTTAAAATTATAGAGATACAAAACTAAAACTGTCATGTGATATTGAACACGAATTCTGAACAGCATAACATATGAAAATGACAATTGTCTACTTCTCACAAGGATACTAGTTCTAATCCTATAACAGAGTTTTATTACAAATCTACAATTCTCAACATCACTGAAAATAGCCTTATTCTAAAAAGTTCATAAATTTTCTCATAGCAAGATAAAACTGTTCCCCAAATCTTTTTTCCGTTCTCAGCTATTACTTCTTGCAGAAAATGAAAAGAGGCAAAATATGTACCACAGACAAATACAAATGAAAGGAGAAAATAACACGTTTCTCCTCAAAATGAAAAGGAAAAATAATTAAAAGCAATACCTTTAGCTGGAATGTCTTGTTGTTTTTCTTGGTTTTCTTCAAAAACTGTTTCAAGTTTCCAGACGACATGTACTCAGAAATGAATATCACCTGAGGGGGGTCAAATAAAAATAAGAATAAAAATATTATCAAACCAACAATCTTTTTCTGATGTAGAGGACAACAAACAAGACCGCAGGACATGACTTAAATTTCTCAACTGTCTAAACAAGAAACAATCAGTTCAAACTTTTTAAAATAGCAAAATTAAGGACGGGAAAGCAGATTTCTCACATGTAAAGTAAAAGATTTAGCAACAGAACACGAGTTCTGGGATAACATAAACCAGACAAATCACTAAGGAGTCATGATAAAGCCACTGCTTACCCTTGGTTTGTCGGTCTTTGTATCCGTCCAGTACTTGTGAAATTTGATGATGTTGGGATGGTCAAGGCGGCAGAGATTGTCAAAGACTTGTCTGATTTTATCCTGAAATAAGAAAGAAATAATACCACCACTTTTGACAAATCTGTTGACATGTGACTAAAGGCCAAATTACAAAGGTACATGCTCAAGAGCATGCTCTATGCGCTTTACAACTATTATTACCCCAGCAGACCCTCTGAGAACACTCACAAACATTCTCGGCATCCCCGGAAGCATACAGTGCTAGCTGCAGATTTCACGCGCTCAAACACTATCAATCTGACAAGATCTTTCAATGTCTATAGCTGGGTACCCATTTCCACCTGGGTGAAGTGAGGAAAATTTGTGCAACGTGCCTTTCCCAAGGACACAACGTTACGCCCCTGACGGGATTCGAACCCACCACCTTACGGTTGGGAGTCTGAGAGCCTAACCACTAGGCCACCGACGCCAATACCACCACTTGTGACAAATCTGTTGACATGTGACTAAAGGCCAAATTACAAAGGTGCAACGTAAAACAAATGGTCACCTGGCTTCCATGTTAATTGGCAGAGAAATCCATGTTATGTAAAGGCGTTTTCCAGGGGAGAGGAATACACAAGTATTTTGATGCCAGCTGATAAAACAATATTCCTTAAAAATTCAAAGGGTTGCAGGATAGAGAAAACGGTAACAATCAATATATAAGATTTTCATGTCAATACCAATAAGAGAACACAACTACAACAAAAAATACATTCTTAATCTTGAACCGTAACACACTTTTACCAATTCTCCCCCGGTCAAAGCAAAGTCATCATTATAGAAATAAGAAATGATATCAGTTGTAATCACAAAAACTAAATTAAAAACAGAAAGTAAGGTCAATGCTGTCCAGCTACAAACACTCTGCATAAGAACCCTGTTTGCCAAAGAACCCCCTTTTTCCATGCAGGAAATTTTTTTCTCTGTAATTTCCACTTCAACAACCCATTCTAAAAACTGATATCTGCCTAAGAACCTGTTTTGGGCTCAGGGCGGTTATTAGGTGAACTTTTTTGCCCTGCTTTATAATACTTCGGGCAGGAAAATTTACACACAATATTTTTTAAGCACACTCATGAGCTCTGCCGAGCCAGTCAATCACGAAGTGGTTTCGATTTTTAATAGATAATCACTCTCTCCTCTCACACGGTCAAAGCATCTGATTGCCTCATAAAAGCTGGCTCACTCTCTGTAAGAATTCGGAAGCACTGTGTATTAGTACTTTTCCTTTTAAATCAGCAGTCCGATAAAGAAAGAGCCAAATGCACTGTCTGAAAAATTTGTGAAAATAAATCAAACATACTACAACCGAACCACAGTGGATGCAAACAAAAGTGTCCATAAATCTCACAGCCGTAAAGACAAAACAAAAGTGTCCATAAATCTCACAGCCGTAAAGACAAAACAAAAGCGTCCATAAATCTCACAGCCATAAAGACAAAACAAAAGGACTTAGTACCCATACCACCTTCTTCTCACCTGCTGAGCTCTGAAATCTCTCTTCTCCGAGAACTGAACTTCGTTCCAAACAACTTCCACTCCCTCCTCTGTGTCCATTGCCAAAAACGCGCTGTCGATTCCAGGGACATCTCTCTGGTCCACCTTAGGAATTAGAGGACACAAGACATGATTAAGTGTGCCCAAAATGATCAAGGGGATTGAACTTTTATCTGTTGATTAGTGTTTTAGTTACATACACAAAAACAGTGGGGGGTGGGGGGGTGGGGGGAGTAGACACATGAATCCCACAAAATTCCGCTCATCATCATCCGAACCGGAACTTTCTTCCACTCTCCTCTTCTTGCCCTTCCCTTTCATTGCTGCCTCCTTCCTCTTCTCTTCCAACCTTTCGGCTTTCTAAATTGTTCTCTTTCCAGGCGCTTCTTGTTATTCTCTTCCAACTTCTTCTTCATCTTTTCCTCCCTCTTCCTTAACATCTCTGCCTTCCTCTCTTCCTGTGCCTTTTCTTTGCAGCCTCCTTTTTTTCTTTGTTCTCGTAAAACTCCTTGAAGGAGATATGTGATACATAGGAGGGGGGCTGAACACATGATAGTGCTGCCCCCCCCCCCTTTAAAATCATCACAATAATTACTGCAATCAAAATTATGTTTGCATGTACACATGATGCGAAATGTATGCCTACACACCAAATCAATGTGCCATTCAATGACAATAAAGATTTTGATTATTACCCGATTATTATTATCATTATTATTATTAACCATCATCCTGCGGGGGCCATGTTTATGTCGCCTGATAAGCCTATTTCGGTACCTCCCCAGCCTTCTGGTCCCGAGTCAGTCCAGCCCCTGGCTCAGCGCACGCGCGCCGAACATCTTCTCACGTGAAATTTGGGTCCCATGTCGGATCCCCATTCACGCAGATCAAGTGTGTGCGCGTCAGTCTGCTTGAGTTTGTGTGCGTTTGCGGCCTTCTTCTAGAACTGCGTGCGTTGGTTCGTAATCGAAGCATATGTCTCATTCAAAACATGCCAAGTTGGTAGCTCTAGATGTTCGTCCAATGAAATTATAGAAGAAATTGACCCACTTAGACATGAGGAGCTCAGTAGGATAGTCAGGAAACAAGACTTCCATTTTTCTATACAAAACCTTTCAAATTATATAAGCTTGATTTTGTATGAAATGATACTAGACCTACATGATAAAAAATAAGCTTGTTCGATAGTTTTGAATACCATTGTGCAGGCACAAAGAACAATTTGAGTGTAAAACATTCAGAAATTGACCTATATTATCCCCTTTCGAACCTCAGGTCATTCATAACAACAAGAGCGTCTAGAAAGGTTATTTTCGAATGGGCGTAACTACTCATTACAATGTCTTACCAGCTTGTGAGAAGGGATTTTTCGTGAGTTTGTCACACTTTATAAATAGAAAGCTATGAAAGATAAAGCGTTATTTTCATCATCAATTAACACACTCCCACTGTATTCATAATCATAGCGAAAACATGTTTCCCGGCGTGCGCGTGCGCTGTACACCAACAGTACACACTGAGTGACCCCGGCGGCCTGCTCGGAACGTCTGACGTAATCGGTTGCTGATAAGATTCGCATCTCAGCACAGACGCAGGACAAGAGTTAAAACATAGCATACATGATTGTGCAGTCCACCCCACCCCCCAAATCATCACTGTCATCAACCTGGCCGGTTTCACCATGATCGTATAAAAATTCTTTGGTCGAACCAGCCACCCTGTAGCCTAATGGGGCTAACATGAAAGACGAACATCGCCAAGACGACCCAAATACCATCTAACAATATTAAATAGCATATGATGTTGTGGTTGACCCGGAACTCCTCAATAAAGACCCATTTCCGACTTGGGTAACAACTTCCTGTCACTCCTTGCAACCCATAACAACAATGAAAGGGAAACTCATGTTGGTGAAGAAACCTGTTGAAAACAAAAGTTACCTGGCCTTCTCAAGGCTTGCCCTCACTCAAACGGCACGAAAAACCACTTTAGCAGACATCTGCTTGGGTTGTAGAAATATTCATCGATAAACAAATCCAAAAGAAAAGAAAAGACATCGAGTCTGTTCAAAAAGGCGGCCGGTTTGACCTGAACCTGCTCTGGAGCATTGAAGATGGAATTTGTCCTTGTATTGTCAGGGCAAAAGACAACTCTGCCATTTAAATGCATTTCAGGTCTGTCTCTTCCTGTTGTTGACATCAGTCATCAGAATCAGAAGATAAGATAAGGTCAGTCAGCCTACTCTCCTACTCACTGACTACACTGTCTTCCTACTAAGTCCTAGCCTAGCCTGGACTGAGTCTGAACCTAGAAATCTAGATATCTAGAAATCTGTAGGCTACCATAATTGGCCATAGCATGTCTATACTCTAGATCTATACACAAATCTTCTAGATCGAGAGTCAAGTCAGGAGTTGTGGCTTTATTGACATGATGATGACTTGCCCCGCATTGTTTCCCTTGCCTTGACTGACTGGGCGAAACGGGCAGCACTTACCTCTTCGCGTCTTTTTTGCCATCGGCCACATGGACTTTCTTCTAAGACTTCTTCGTCGTCAGATTCCTCTCCACTATCTCTTTTCTGTTCAGACTCTTGGTCTGCCATCTCAGAATGGCAAACAGATGTGAAACAAGCAAAACAGCACGTCTTAGAAAGTTGAGCAAGTACGTATGTACCAGAAATGGATAATGGGAAATATCCGATATCACTCAGTGTCACCCAAGGCAATAATAGCTATTTAGCCGAAACTCTTTAGAAATATGACGTCAATACAATATGTAGTTATGGTTTAATAAGTATTATTTTATGCAAATTAACTTTAATTAAGTAATAAAGATTGGGTTCTTAATAAGGCAGTGACGCTTAAAAGTTGCATCTTAATTTATTTTGTTTGTTTCTTGCTGTCCATTTTTGGTACAGTATCAGGCCCCTGGCCCTGAGCCTAAGAGTACAGTATAAGTTAAGAAGTTGAAACCAAGTAATTCATTCAGTTAATCAAGTAGGCCTATAACATAGGGCCTAAATTAGTTCTTGACACTACCATTTCATAAAGTGCACGACATTTGTTTTATGATGCTCAAGCAATTTTATCTGTAATCTTGTTTTTTTTAAAAAACCATATGAGAGCCTCAACTGCGGTGCCTTCCTTGCAAGAATTAAAAAACAAATTACAATGACATAGATTCCTCCAAAAATTTTATCGTATTCAAACATACACATTGCTAGTTGAACCCAAGACCAATCTCATAACTGCCAAACGCACCCTTCAATATGATTATGCTTTTGCCAGTAACTTGTCAAAACGATAGAAGAAGCAATGCGCTATTATACTTGTTATTCATACTGAACCACCAACTGTACGCTTAAAAAATATTGAATAATGTAATTTCCTGGTTTTACTATGGAAACCCATTTTGAACAAAACAACCATTATTTTCTTTTATATCATGCCTCATAAACAGAATCAATCACTCTTTCATATTATTCATACTAAACCATAAGCGACTGTATACAACTGTAAACAACATTGATCGTGGATAATTATAGGGCCTACTTTATGAACATGGCTGCGTTTTCACTATTAGTAGCGCCTAATTAAGTACCGTACTGCACTCACAAGGCAACGATCGCGAGGAGTTTAAAAAGTATATTATATTGTATTATAGGCAAGTATAAATAAATAGATGAATGTGTGTGTGTGTGTGTGTGTGTGTGT